CATTTCTGTATAACATAGGGGATTATTTACGCAGCCCTGGTGTTTGCTGAAATTGCTTTAAACTATAAAGAAAAGCTTTTGAGAGGTTTCCTCTCTTTCTCAGATCTGAAGCAATACCTGAGGAAGAAGGAAAACTCTTGAAAACTTGTCAACTTGTCTTCTAAGTATTAGGTTAGTACAATAAAAAGATATAATTGCATACCGCATTACTCTCGTATTTGTAATCTTATTTATATATTCTTATTTCATTTTTTTCAGTGTATGATTTAGTGGGGAAAATTATTAGTGCCTCCCCAGTTTTAACTGTGGTATCTTATGTGCCCCCCCCTATATCTTGTTCCTAGAATCGCCACTGCCAACAATTTAGATTGTTCCCATATTGTAGTCTGCTAGTCTTATATGTATGAGGAAAGCTACAGGTTGGGTAGTACTCCACAAAACACTAAAAACTTTGCACAAGCCTCTCAGAAATGCTGTAAAGCAGAGTTTATTGTGTATGAGTTACAAATGAAGATGTGTAAATCCAAATACAGAAGTTTCATCACAAGGAAGAGCTTTTTATTGGTTTCTGTTTCCTGAGCTCCCTGGATAGTAGAGATGTGCATTCGGATTCGGACGAACTTGCTGAATCACGAAATTCCGTTAATTTGCCAGTTCATCAGAATCTGAAATAACTAATTATTATATGCCCGAATATACGAAACATATATTCATGCATATAGTAATTAGTTTCATATGGGCACAGCCATCTTGCTGCATCCAAGATGGCAGCGCTCATAAATGCGTATAGCATCGCCTGCCGCTGTCCCACCTCCAAGATGAATTCAGGTAAAGAGAAGTCACTAGCACTCCTGCGTAAATACAAGTCAATATTTATTGACTACAAAGTGTCACATAATCACAGGCGACGTTTCGGAACCGCAAGGTTCCTTCCTCAGGCAAAACAGAGTTCATCTCCAAGTAGGGTTTGTTCTGGTTTTAAATGTGCACTTTCGGTTCAGGTTCGTTGCCTCAGAATCCTAAACAGCATACTTAATAATTTCATCAAACGAAACGAAAAAAAGGGGGGTTTTCCCTTTTTATTTGATTTGTCCGAAACCAAGTTTTATGCTGTGCACATGTCTTGTGGATAGCTGTAAAACCTGCTCCGGTAAGTATTTTCATTGCCCGATGTACAGTACACTGTTCGATACTGTACATCGGCAACGCTATACTGTACTAATGCAGTACTGTATAGAGTTCCTCACTGAACGACCAATAAGGAATAGATACTTAATGTATCTATTCCTGAAAGAATAATGTTTCAGTTTTCTGATGGTTGTTGGAACAATCAGAAAACTAGTGACAGCTGAATCCTGAACTGCTGCAGGATCAGTGTCACTAACTTATTATCGGCTGTTCTGAAGTTTGAAGCAGCCTGATAATAACCAAAAATGTATTAATTTATCAAGCAGTAATAGTGAGATTAATTCACAATGACTGCTTGATATAATTAAATAAAATAACATTTTTAAGTTTAAAAAAAATAGTGAAAAGTGTAAAAAAAATAAAATAAGGGACAAATAAATGAATGTATTTATTGCATTTTTTTTAGCTGTGCTGGTTTTGTAAAAAAAATACTACAAATCAAAACTGGGAAAAAAAGTGCTTTAAGTTTTTTCTTTTTTTTAAATTTTTTTATTTGTCCTAAGTGAGACGTTAGACACACATATGTGATATAAATATGTAGCCCTATCTGTCCTCTAAAAAACAATATATAATATGTGTGGGTATATTACTGACGTGGAAGAATCACACAGCAAAAATTTAAAAAGTGTGTCAGTCATTTACGAACAGAAACTAAAAACAAGCTCAGCCATGAAGGGGTTAATCATGTAGAATTAAATGCTTGCAGAGCATTTAAATAATGACCTACCTTATAAACATCTGTAACAATATTCAATGGTACAACAATTAAGTGCCCTCTTCATTCCTAACACATCCATTATTACAGTCCTTCTGAAATCGGTATGATTACCTACCAGCTTTACATATGAGTCACTGAGTTTGGCAGGTCAGAGAAAAATAATAAAAATCCTTATTTACATACACATTCACTCCTCTCACTGCACACAGAAATAGGCCCCCTCTACTACAACCTTGGCAACCAGATGACAGCAGAAGTCTCAAAGCTAAGGGGGTTATTCACAAAGGAGCAGAAGGATTAAGGCTTTGATTGATGCAGTGCCGTCCGTCCGTTTTTTTACTACGGGCGGACGGCAAGAGGTTAAAACACTAAAAACATTGCACAGGGAACTGAGAAATGATATAAAGCAGAGTTTAATGCATAAGAGTTACACTTCACGATATGTAAATAGAAGACTGAAGAACATCCACAAAGCGCTTTAATTGGAAGTAGCTGCAGGACGCTGGAAAAGACCAAAGAATAGGTGATCCACATTGTGCTTCTATCGGCTGTGGCTGCAGGAAATGCTTCCTTGTGAGCAGAAGGGTGGGAAAGGAACAAGGAGTGCGCAAGCACAACACAGTCCTTAGCAGGTGATATGAGCACTAAGGTTCCTCAGGCTGAACCATTAACTCAGTAAAAAGAGCAGGAATATTAAACAAAAATATGAGTGCTTATCAATTAAGATTGTTCCCATATTGTAGTCTGCTAGTCTTATTATATGTATAAAAAAAGCTGGGTCACACTTACATGTTGTGCTACTGCTGGAAAACTGGGTAGTACTCCACAAAACACTAAACACTTTGCACAAGCAACTGAGAAATTATATAAACCAGAGTTTATTGTTTATGAGTTACATATGAAGATGTGTAAATCCAAATACAGAAGTTTCATCACAAGGAAGAGCTTTTTATTGGTTTCTGTTTCCTTGTTACAGATGGCCAAAGGCTGTGCCCAGAACAAAGTATATAGAATTCTCTCTATCAGCTCCCTGGATAGTAGAGATGTGCATTCGGACGAACTTGCTGAATCCTGAAATTCCGTTGATTCGGCAGTTCGTCCGAACCCGAAATGACGAATCAAAAATGCCCGAATATACGAAAAATATATTTGTGCATATAGCAATTAGTTTTGCATGGGTATGTAGTTTTGCTGCGTCCAAGATGTCATGCGCCTCACCTCGGAGATGGGCACGTTCTGTTTTTTTAAATGTGCGCTTTTGAAAGCATAATTATTTGTTTCATCAAACGAACACAAATGAAAGGGTTTTTTCCTTTTCATTCGTTTTGTCCGAAACAAATTTGTATGCTGTGCACAAGCACCCGAAGCACTCAGCCGAGCCGAACGCATATGTATTAGCTCGGCTGAGTCAAACACTCAGCCGAAGCGGGGAGAATGGTCTGCCAAACCCAGCAGATAGGTCGGAGCCAGCGGTGACATCATCTGTTTACATTTTGTCGTCAACTGTCAAATCACTCATTTAGTGCCGTGACTCCGTCAGGAGCGGTCGGGTCTGGCAGGCGTTGTTTGTTTTTTTTGACGAGTCAGCGACTGTCAGATTAAGGGTCAAGATTAAGGGACTTTTTTTGGTGGTGGGGTTTCCCCTTAAATTTCCTACTACACCTAAAGGGCCTCATATGACCTTTGGGGGGAACCCCCCCCCCATTTTCTCTTTAACTCGGGGGTCCCTCCTAACATTTCTACCAGACCTAAAGGGTGGGGATCCCATGCTGTTTTTTTGTTGTTTTTACTTCTGTTTACATGTCATTTTTTTAATTCTGTTTGCTATCTCTGAGGTAGCGAACAGAATGACCAGGCCAAATGCTGCACGGCAGCATTCAGCTTTTTACTCCCTGCTGTTTAGCACATATGAGAATAGGGCGAAAAGCAGGGAATGAACTGCCAGACTCTCGCTTCAGCCAATCCAGATGTTGAATCAGCTGAGGTGAACATGTTCTTCACTTTGGTTCAGCCCAACGAGCTGAGGCTGTTCGGCTGAACAGAAGGGAGCCGAAGTCAGCTGATGTATGGCTGAAAACAGCCATACCCGGGTGAACTGAATAGCCGAACGGGGTTCAGCATCCTTGACTTCGGCTCGGCTATTTGTTCGGCTGCCTTCGGCAGTTTAGTGAATAGCCGCCTGAATCCTCTCTCATCCAGTGCTCACCAATTCTTTTCTATCTTTAACTCTTTACTCCGTCCTGCCCTGAACATTGACAATCCTATCAAAATCATGATTGATGCAATTTGTGATAGGAGCTACACTGTCTAAATATTAGACCAGTGCATGGCTGAAAATTTAGTTACATTTTCATTTAGGATTTTCTTTTTTAGTTTTCTAAAAATTCTGATCCGTTCGATATTCGTTATTTGGAATCCAGATCGATCTGAAGTTTTCATTTTTGGATCTATTCAAATCTACTTGGAGAGGGTTTAGTATGTTCAACCTGAATATCGGAAAAGAAACAGTGTGGGGTCCCCCACCCAAATTCAAACCAGCACCTTCAGGTCCCCCCATGCACCCCCCAAAAACCTTTACCAGACCCTTGATCCGAGCAGAACAGGAATGGGGGGGCGATTGTGCACACCCCACTCCGCACCATTCGATTGTGTGCTCCTCCTCCCTCTCCTGCACTATACAAGGCCTCTTGCCTTCAACAAGGGGCAGGGTCCCCATAATGAAGTGGACAAGGGCCTCTTCCACACAACCCTAACCCGGTGGTTTTGGGGGTCTGTAAGCAGGGAGGCTTATCAAAATGTGGGTGCCCCCTTTCAATCATGATGCCTGCCGCTCGCCGCCCCAATGAAAGAAAAAATGCCCACCGCCTCATCCGCACTCTGTTCCTGAATGTAAACAAAGGGGCAGAGCAAGTCCATCACTGTGACATCACACTGTCTCTCTCCATGACCTCATCAATCAGATATTAGTCCATTTAAATCTTACACTAAGGTAAATTGATTGATTTACTTATAGTTGTAGCTTTATTGTTCTTTTTGTACTTGCAATAGCTGTATTGCAGGACTATTTTGCCAATACAGGGACAATGTTTTTTACCTGTTCCACCACATAAATGGCATAGTCTGCTTGCTGTTTTTGTAGGAAAGGATGCATGTTGTACAGCCAGATATGAAGATGTGGTTCTCTATTTCGAAAAGGAATCACTATAGCAATCTTCTGAAGAGCTGTACAGTTCTCCGGCTTGCTGTGACCACCAAGTGGTAATAATGCATTTTCAGTAATTCTTTTTTCAAGAGACACATTCACTTCAATGGGGTAAGGACCTAGTAGTGAAGACAAAGATGTACAAAATGAATATGCCATTAAGGTCGTAGAAAGATTAATATCACTGCTATCAAAATCTTTTTCTTACATCATTACAGTAGTACAAGTCTGGCTATGAATACTACACTTACTGTTACACTGTTGCATGACTGAGCAACAGTGTGACTTGTATATATGTAGCTTTATATAAACCTTAAGCAAGCCTAGGTTTATACTTCTTTTTTTAACCAGTAGCTTGTAGTGAATGCATATCAGTAATATAAAAAATGTATGTTGAATTGTACCTAACAATTGCTTGTTCTGGGTACAATAAATCAGAAATGTAAGCATTTTAAATACTATTGGGTCTATTAACTAAGCTGCCGAAGGATCTAGCCGTAGTCTTGGGCGGGATGAAATCTCCAGTTCTGGGGCCAGGTGCAGCCAATTGCCAGGTCAGAGTGTCCAGGAGGTTGATAACAGCCCTATTAAGAGACTGGACAGATAGGAAGCGGCAGTCAGTGGTGCAGTCATACATGCAGAGCGTGGGAGATTGTGTGCATGTGATGCTGGAGTCTGGCTGGAGAGGCCAAGAGGGCCTGTGGCACACGCGGTGTGTGGGGGCGAGGCCAGGAGGGTCTGTGGCACACTAGGTGATGTGTTTCGAAAAGGTCGGGAGGACCGTCATCACACAGGGAGGAGAAGCTGCTGGTGTCTGGCCATGAGCAGGCCGAGGCTCTAACCCTGAGGAGGAGTTGTGAGGAAAGAGTGATCAGCTGTGGCTGATGTATGAACAACCTGCTGTATTGCTGAAAAACTTTGGGGCTTGTTAATGACAAACTGGTGAGACAAAGAATTGTGTGCCTTAAGTTATGCTGAAGATAAGCTTACGTTTGTGTTTACCATTCTGACTGCCCTGAAGAGGACAATAAAAAGCATTTGTTTGTTCAAACACCGTCTGTACGAGTGCTCTGTGGGCTCCCCAACATCACAATATATATACACTGAGTGGCCAGATTATTATGACCACCCCATCAATACTTCGTTGGGCCACGAGATGACTCCACGGGATGACTTCATTGGGCGGCCTCATGACTTCACGAGATGTTGAAAGGTGGTGCGAGGAATCGGACACTGCACTGTTGCCCTTCTGTTGTCTTGTACCAGTCTTGCCACTCTCCGTTCTGCCCTAACATTGACTAGTCGCTGACGGCCACAATTCGCACGTTCAGACCCAGATTTTCGGTTGACAGTCCAGTCTTAAACACTTTATCAACAGCTGCTCTTGAACATTTAACGAATTCTGCTGTTTTGCTGATACTCGCTCCATGGCTCCGAGCGCCAACAATCATCCCACGTTCAAAGGCTGTTAAATCGCGTTGTTTCCCCATAGCTTCAGAAAAAAATAACTTCTACTGTCGTGGTTAACAACCTGCTTCCCTATTTATAATGGTCTGGCCCTCTAGCAACTTCAGCGCGAAACTATAGCTAATTTGCCTACAAACGTCAGGTGGTCATAATAATCTGGCCACTCAGTGTATATTTATTAGGGATGCACCATTACTAGTATCGTTATCAGTGCCAATACTGAGTATTTGGGTGAATACTCATATACTTACTCCCGATACCGGTCAGAGGGAGATTTCCTCTGACCGGCAGTGCCACGAGGGAACATGCAGCCGGCTTCCCGGCCAATCAGCATCGAGCCAGTCAAACAGCATAGAGTTAGCTTCCCAGATAATCAAGAAGCTGGGCGGCAGGTAATGACACGCCGCCCGGCTTCCATGCCACCGGAAGTACCGGTATCGGCATGTACTGAAAGATAAATATTGGTACTTGTACTTGATACCAAAAAAACAATATTGGTGCAGTCCTATGGCGGGACAAATGAACTCGCAGTATTTACCTAATCCCAGTCTAGCCAATAAAGATAGCCTAAGATATGGAACCCAGAAGAAGGTGTAGATAGATAGAAGTAGTCACTCGCACTCCAAGGGTAGTAAAGCCAATAATGTTTATTGACTATGATGATACATATCTCCTAAGCAACGTTTCGGGACCATGTGGCCCCTTCCTCTGTTTGCTACCTTAATTATCAAGGTAGAAGGTGTAGGTGTCAGAGAGGTTGCGTACTTCACATCGCTTGAGCAAAGGTGAATATATTTCTTCTTTAATAAAAGCCCATCTATAGAAGAAAGTGTTGTTTTAGTTTTGGATATAGTAGGAAGGAGTTAATCAGGTTTTGCTCCGTATCAAAGCAAAAAATGTACTACATTATTAGCTATACTGAAAAACAATAACTGTATAGCAGGTGGAAATAATGTAGCTACCTAGAAACACAGCACTGTTGCGAAATATTCAGCATCTAAACACTCTACAATCCAATGTTGATTATATTTTCCCATGAGGAAAATAAATGCTTTTGCAAAACAAAAAACCAAAACAACATAATAATTAAGTAAATAAATTATAACAATGGTAATGATAACATTGAAAATTACTGTGTTCAAGGGGAAAATGCACTCTTTGAGCTATTTCCATACTGAAATCATGTCACCATAAAATGTTAGTGTTTCACTGCAGAAAAATAATTTTTTAAAAGAAAACCACAACAGCACAACCACCACCAACATTTTTTAACATTTTCCAATGCTTCCTGCCACCTTGTAGTCATAACATACTATGTCATAAGTTGCAAACATGTACATAAAGCAGACCCAGAAGCCGGAGCTTATAAATGCTCACAGATGCCAACGCAATGCAACACAGAATGAAGAGGGCAAAATCTTAGAAAAAAAACCAACAAAACAAATAAAGTAATAGTAACAATTTATAACCAACAAGGAATATACGCATGAGTTTGGAAGGGATCAGTGTTGTGTTTGTTTGTGTAACATGACTGTCTTTTTTTGTACTTAGAACTTAGATGAAGTTCATATTATATTGTGGGTTCTCCTTATGCTGACATCATAAATTTTTTTCATTAACTGTAACTTAATGTAAAATAGTATAAACCTAGGCTTGTAAAATTATATAATTCCCAGTTCCCCGCACACCCATGTGT